AATGAACTCAGGGCAAAAATCAGTTTGTTTGTTATTTTTCCTTGGCTTTGGAACCAATATGACATGGAGAAACAGCTTTCTGCTAAAACCAGAACATAGAAATGTATTTATAAATATATAACTAGATTTATAAATATATATTTATAAATATATAACTTTAAAGTAAACCCTTGTCTTTATTAATTTAGCTTTTCAGTGCTTCTCTGTAGGAATGATGCTATTAAAAGAAAACATTTTTTCAATGTTTTATTAATAATCTGCACTCTTGTCTGGAGTTGTGTGTGAATTGTGTTAATAGCTTGGCTTAGCAGAACAATTATCAGTAACATCTACATTTGTCAAGTCCAACCAAACTGACAGATGTTTGAAACCACAATTACAAAATGTCTTCGACATTATTAATATCATGTTTCATGTAAACTAGGAGCAAATACTTCTTGTTCTTGGTTCACTGCCATCAATCCATGCTTAGAATGGTAGTTTATATTTGCAGACCTCCTTTCATGTTAAAAATGAATATTGTTATGCTTGAATAATAACTTCTGTTCCACTGACGGGACCTATACCACTAAAATTAAAAAAATAAAACAACAGTAATGATACTAAGTATTCATGTTCTTCATTTTTAACTCTGTTATTGATTCTTATGTCAGCATAACTAGTGCTTTTTCCTTAGCCAAGGAGCAAAATGTGTCACACTAATGAGGACAATTCAAGAGAACTGGCATCGTCTAGGTTTATTTGGAGGAGTTCATGCTGAGCTTCCCATCCAAGCCTTAATTTAAAAAAGTGTTTGTAACTGCAGATTAAAAAGAAAGAAAAGAAATGAAAAGGAAAACTGTTTAAATGAGAGGTAGCTATATGTGCAACAAATTCTTTACATTAAAGCCAAATTAATCTTTTGTTAAAAAAAAGGTCTGAAATGTCCCCTAACTTTTCTACTGTATTTTTGAAGCTTTCTTCTCTTCCTTTTATAGAGACGTTCACAGCGCCTAGCTCCTCCTGAAGTGCCTCATCTTAGCTCAGAGAATTAGATAGAAATCCCACTTGAAAGAAACAAAAACACAAAATGAGAACAAGAAAACAAAGAAGATTCAGTAAGAGGTAAAAGGGAGACCAAAATGGAGGCTAAGCTGTGATTGCATATTTTAAAAATATGTGCTCATAAATTAGAATTAAACTCACAATTACGTATCATTTCTTTTTCAAATAACTGTAATTAACTCTGACTTAAGAGCTTTTCTTTGAGGGTCTGTGAGAGGTAATAGCCTTGTATGGGCAAAAAAGAAAAAGTGATAGAATTGCCCAATATTACTTGAAAAAATATTGTAAACTCTTCAAGATACATTTATGTTTGTTCATTTGTTTTTATATTAGGATCAGCAGCTGTATGGAGGGCCAACTCTGATATACAGTAATAAAAAATAAAAGTAGAAATGCATAAATGATTCAGGTAAAAACAAAGCATTACATTACAGATACCAGATATTTACAGAGAAATGTGTATTTTATTTATTAAAACATTAAAAGTCTTAATTACTATTATACATTTTTATTCATCTATTTAAAATACTTAAGTAAAACATGTTTTCTCTTTCACTGATCATGTTTCCTCTTTTATGTCCTCTTTTATTTTTTGACTTTCTTGATGTTTTGTTTTTACTTTTGTCTGCCTCCTGTGCCAATATTTCTTATACATTTCTTCCTTTATTATGCAAATAATGTGTGCTAGCCTTTGCAGGCTCAGCCCCGAATACTTGCGGTCAGTCAGGGAAAACTACAAGGTCCATCAAACTGTTTCATTTTCCATGGTCATTTAAATGCTTAGTAGACCATATTTTTAAAGAAAAAAAAAAAGAGATATTTCCATACAGATGCAATGAAAAAAAATAAGTTTAGTTTATGGGATGAAAAAGAATCCCCTTTTTGGGTGCCCAGAATACCTGCTGTACTTATCCTATCAATAATGGGAACATCAATTTTCAATAGGGATGCACAATATTGGGATTTTGGCCGATATCCGATATGCCGATATTTTAAAACTCCTGTAGCCGATAACCGATATCGATACCGATGTTAAAGCTGGACAAAAATAAGTAGTCATTGAAAATAGCAGTTTTGTTATCCATTTCTGACAC